AATTAGTTGTCATAAGTAAAGAATCTAGAGAGCTTGGATTTCAGGTATGGCTAGATCCAGGCACTCAGGTGATATCACGCCCATCTCACTATCGCTCCTGCTCCATGCTGCTCTGCTTTTTTCTCTTCATTGGCTTCCTTCTCAGTCAGGATCTCTTGACCAGAAGCTATTGGTTTATGCATGGCTATTCTAAAAATGAGAGCACTTTTTTCTTTGTGTCTCCAACCAATGTCCCAGGAAAGTTTGGGATTGGCATAGCCTGGATCATATAGTCCCCCCTGAACCAATCACTGCCTATAAGCAGATAAGGCATCTATTTGGCTAAGAGAGAAGTCGAAGTAGGAGGAAGGGAGGAAAAAGAAGGGCCATGGAGAAGAAGAAGATGTTGGAGATAAATGGAAGAGTGACTAAGAGTAGCCTCCCTTAGCCCAGAGGTATCTTGCCAATCTTTATCTTCAATGTTATCTCAAAAATTTAGCTTCCAAAAAAGAAAGCAATAATTGATCATTCCATCCTCCTCTTTGAATTATGTTCCTTATTTGTGCCTGTCTTATTTATTGTATTGGAAGGAAATGGACACAGTTTTGAATAAGGCAAGGCTTATAAAGGATGACACCCATTAAGGAAATCACTTCCATCTCTACTTCATTGTACTTGGTGATAATTACAATCAGTACCACAGTAACATGTAATTATATCAGTCCCATACATCCACATTCATATTTCAATCATAAGTTAACAAAAGGATAGTACAAAGTGTGCCCCATTACACATTTGTCATTTCTTTCTCAGACTCTAGGAGAATGGCGGGAGTTTCCCTGTGGTCTTTTCTCACACAGTAATGTCCCTCTGCCCTGTTACATACAAAGGTCCCATTGATTGGAAGAGCAGCTACACTCATGTGCTGGGCCAAGAGGTTGGGGATCCAGGAAATTCTCAACTGGTTTAACAAGAATGAGCACTACACCTTCTGAAAGCCCTACAGAGACCAAGCCATGAGAATTGGGTCTGTAATGAGAATTGGGAAAATTAGCGAAGTGCCTTCAGGCACTAGAGGCTGAGAGACTGAGAGTTCAAATAAGAGCAAGTGAGTATCTCGGGCCATTTGGCTTCACTCCAGCCTCACACTTTTTCTAAAACTTCTCCCCACCCTAGACAGAAAGACTAGAGAGACACAGTGGAGAGCCATTCCACAGCCACACAGGTGCCTGTCCTCCTGCCCTGATCCCAAAGCCCCCGCAGCACCACTGTGAATTAGATTTTCTCTCGTCCCTTGACTTCTTCCTGGAACTTTTCTTCTTCCTTCAGGTCCAGGGCAGAACACTGGGTCAGTCATACTCAGTGACTCAGCTCACAGCGCGCTCCCATCACAAGCTTGCACCAGACCCTTCACTCATTTGTTGATTACCTTTTATCCCCTTCCCATTCCACTTCCCTCCCTCAGCCCACAAGCAATAGAACTATTGTCTTTGATGATGTCCTTGAATTTGTACATATTCTCGTAAAACACGTAGAATTTTCTAGTTCTGAGTGTTTATGTACTTTTTGTGCACATGTTTTAATTTACATAAATGGTGTCCACAGACTTTGCTCTGTTCTTGTTTTCAGTCTACATTGTTTCGAACCGTCGCATGGCCTGGCATAGTCAGACTCCCTGACATCTCGTGACCCATTCTCCCAGTGATGAACACCTCAGTCACCATCATCCTCACTACCACACATGACACTGTGATGAATGTCCTCATCTAGCCCCCTGGGGACCTGTGTGAGAGCTTCTTTGGGCTCTTCTCTCAGGAGTGGGACAGCTGGGTCATGTGACTAATGGGTTGGTCACCAACTGTCTTCCTTGTCTTGACTATGAAGCACCCACCATAGTGACAGTATCAGGTCCATATCATGTGATTGGGAGAAGCTAAGGCTCAAAGAAGTTGCATGATATGCCTAACTTCACATGGTTAATTACGTGGTGGTGTTAGGATTCAAAGCCAATGCCTAGGTGCACATCCTTCTGCTGTACCATACTGCATTCCACGGGGATCTCATGAGCCGATGACCTAGGCCAGAGGCAGCAAGGATTCAGTTAGAAATCCTTCTTGCATGAAGGCCAGAAAAACATTCCTTCCCTTTACCAGGCTCCCTTTCCACCCCCGATACCTGCAGGACTGCTGGGAGTGGAGAGCAGACCCTGCCACAAGGCCACTGTATCACCAGAGGTGAGGGAGAGCCTCACTGGCTAGGGTCCAGGCAAGCTTAGCCCCCTCCTCACACCCCTGGTGCAAGAAGATTAACAGCTGCCATCTGGCAAGCAGAGTCTCTCCACGCAAACTGCAAACCCCCCTGTGAGTGAATCACTTGTGTGTCCAAAACCAGTCAGGCCCAGTGAAACTTTGATGGCTCTATTAATGAAGATAAAAACTTGAGATATGCCAAATACAGATTAAATGGCATCTTGGTAACATGATTATCTCTGAATTACTAGCTCCATAGTGAGATGGCCAATGGACTAATCCTGGGGAAGGATGGGGGCTTTGGAGTGAGGATTCACTACTTCCAGCTTCCAGGGTATCATTGTTGTATAAGAGTAGAATTTTAGTAAATGGGACACCCTAGAGCAGAAGTCACTCTTGTTCAGAGAAGATTTAATTTCTTGAAATTCTGAAGTTCCACATTGAGAATGGTCTGAACAAGATGAGCAGGGAGTATATCAGGAAAGCATGAGGAAGAATCTGCAAATGTTTGTGTCTATAGCACTGTTGATAAAATTAGCCGCAATGAAAGGAAGGGAATGATACAGAGGAAAGTCTAAAAGCCACAAGGCACTCTCTCCTGCTTTCCTTCACTTCTGACTTCAGCGAGCTATTGTTTAAGCTTGTCAATGCTACCCTTTCCATATATTAGTATATGTCATCTCTGTGAGGTAGGCACTGCCGTTCCCATTTCCTGATATGAGAAAGTTAAGGCTTAGAAGTGTCAGTAACGTGCCTGCAGTCGAACATCTAGCAGCCGGCCAAGCTGAGAGTCAACCCCAGCTCTTCCCATGTCAAAAGTTAATATACTCTTAAGGAAATGCCATGCTTTAACTTACTAATTTTAGGGAGCCACAGAGAATTTTGAGAGAGTTCCAAGGATCATTTCCAAAACAAACAGAAAACCAGCCCCAAAAGTGAGGTTGTGAAAATTCTATCTTTTTGGAGACAGAAGATTGAGACTTGACAAGTCATGGTGGTGTTGGACGAGTGGATTGTTGGTGAATATGTATAAATAATTTGATGTATAAAATGTCTTGCAATTTACCTGAAATTGTGTGAGAAAGTCTTTAGATGGCAAATATCAAATTGACTATGAAATTTCCAAAAATCCCATATAGCCCCTTAATGGCTATAAATCTCCTTACAGTTTAGTCATAAGAGGCCAAGGACATAAATTGGTGCATGGTCCACGGTCTAAATTGTATATTGTATAAAGTTATCTAAATACTTATACATCGTGACACATTCTCCTTTCTCTTGAACTATATTTCCATGCCTACCAGACAGATGAACAAAACACTGGTTCTAAGACTTCTGATGTATTGTACCTGTTTCAATCAGATGCATAATTGTGGTAGAACTGTTATTGTTTACTTTTCACACTATCACTAGCAGCTTTAATTTTTGGTTAAGTCCTTGAAATCCCTTTCTAGAAAAGCAGATGAGATCACATTCTCTATTTTCCTGGTTAACGGTATCATTATCATGCCACAGATTCTCAAACAATCAGCTAAATTCCATTGTCATTCTGAATCCCTTCTTTCTTTTATGCATTTACAAACTTATTCAGTCTTCTGCCTTCTCACTGGAGAATGTTTTAGAGAAACTGCCATAAATGGTACATAATTGTAAATGGCTTTAAAAAGCCATATGGAAGGATGGATAATCTTCCTTTTTGTTTCCATCTTTCCTACATATTCTTTCGCTTTGTGTTTTGCAATACCTTTTACACCCAGCTTTGGTCAGAATTGTTGTTGGGCATTTGCCAGTTTGAAATGTCCTACAAAATGAATTGCTCCTTTTGTAAATAAGAAAAACTCTGTAAGTTTGGGAAGTATTGCTTTGAAATAATGTGCCGAAGTTATAGCTGGCTGGGAGCACTTTCCGTGGGGGCGAAGGAGTGCGGTGAGTTTATTGTCTGTTCAGCACGTATAAATCACGATCCAGGTGATATTCCATGCTTGCCTCCATATCATCTAGCTGCTGTAGTTTGGGGCATCACAAATATTCTTCCAGGAAGGAATCACATATTTCCTGTGTCAGGAGGACCTTTCATTTTGGGTTAAATTTTCAAATGGTGTCAGTACCTGATGGAAATTGGGATAAATTTTTAACCATCGATCTCTTGGCTGAGGCTTACTGAGGACACCATCATATTCAAGTGAGTGGCTTCATTTACTTTCATTGGCTTCCTTTTCTTACTCTTTACTTTAAGAAGTTAATTTATTCCTCTTGCAATTTAAATGCCAACCTCTTGTAATATTATTCTTACCGGGTAACTTCTCATTTGGCCACTTTTTATCTTCTCTCTTTCCCCTATCTCCCTGTGCTTATCAGGGTGAAATATCTCTAAATGGCACTTCAAAGACAAGTATCAGAGTTGTGAGATCATTCTCAAACCAAAGTGGTTGTCAAAATTAACTCAATAATGTGCTGCAGGGAACACTCATAGGGCACATTATTATATCAATAATAACGTTTTTAATTTTTAGAGATGTGAAAATGACAATAGATGCACTCTAAAGGGAAAATTTTAAAGCTCACATTTTAAAAGAGAAATAGTTCTCTATCTTTGCCCATTGAAGGTAGGTACATATATGTATATACACTTGTATACATACGTATATATGTATATATACATATTATGAATCACTGTGAATTATTAAGATAACATTCCTTTTAATATTTTCTTTTCAATATATGATTCTTCTTGAATCATACATCTTACTATAATATTCAAAATTATGAGGCTAGAATGAAAAATACTTTATTGAAAAGATGGACTACTTAAGATAGGATTGGACTGATGTTCAGTTAAAACTGTATCTCTGTACTTCTATTCATGATTTGGATTCCTTTTTATTTTCACCTCTGAAAATTAGCTGAAATAACATATATAATGCCAAGATATCTGGGCAGGAACTCACCACTAGGTGTGACCAAGAGACATCCAATTTTTTCATTCTACTGACAAGGCTATTGGTCATATCCATACTTAGAAGAAAAAATAAAACATGCAAAAAACTCAAATATTTCAAAAATTGCCATTAAAACTCAGCTGCTGCACAACCTGTAATGAGAAGAAACAAACGAATCAATGAGTAAGATGTAGAAAGCAATAAGCATGGCTGATTTTAAGTTTCTCTCTCACACACCTTTTAACATCATCTTTAGAAAAATTAGTTTAAATGTCCAAGTTCAGAAGTAAAACATGTATATAGCATCTTGGCTCTCCTTAGACACATTGAAAAAAATAATAAGAGCTACTCAGGATCATTGTATAATTATATGAAATAACACAAATGCCCCAAAACACACTTGGCCAGATCATAGCCTTGGAGTGAACAAAGTACAGCTATGAGAGTCTGTTGGGTAAAGGACATGATGATTCTTCAGCGTAAGAGCTACTCAGGATCATTGTATAATTATATGAAATAACACAAATGCCCCAAAACACACTTGGCCAGATCATAGCCTTGGAGTGAACAAAGTACAGCTATGAGAGTCTGTTGGGTAAAGGACATGATGATTCTTCAGCATCTATATCATATTTCAAACAGTGTTTCCTCCAAAAGCCAGTTTCATCTTAGGAAAGATTTCATTTTAAAGTCCAAGGCCCAATATTACAGAATCTTAGGGTTATGCAAGTAATGTGGAGAGTACAGTTTTAGTGGAACTATTGAGACCAACATTTACTGATGTCACTACAAACAAACCCACTTCCTTGAAGAATAATGAAATAACCAATTCTCAGGCTTTACTGCTATGTGAGTGTGTGTACATGTGTGTGTGTGTGTGTGTACTAATCTAAGTGTTTTCTATAAATAAACTTGGACACCAAACTCCTTCCCCTTTAGGAGCTTTTGTATTTTTGTTTTCCTATGTGGCACTGTACGCATTTCTATAGCTGTGAACAACAACATTTGATTAAAATCTGTCAGATTTATCTTTTTAGCTGGAGAAAAGAAATATGTGTTTCTCCAGAAAGGAAATCAATGTGTCTTTATGACAGATGCCGAGTGGAAAGCTGGATACTGTTGCTTTAAGTGATGAAGCAGAAAGACAGGGGAGCGATCTCCATTGGCTGCTGACATAACTGTTGTGAGGCAAAGCTCTGTTTAAACCGTATAATCCTTGTTTATAGGGTAGACTTACAGTCACTGATCTAGTAGTTATTACTCTAACTTCTTAAGTAACAAAGTCTTGCATCTGAAGTGTCCATGGTTTGCTTTGTTTAAATTTTCCTAGCAACATTTTTTAGTCAGAGCTCTGCTCTTTTGCTTTTCTGCAATATGAGAAAGATTACTCCCTCCCCATAGGAAGGCACCAGGTTTTTGAGGCCCCATAACTGCATAAGGGAATCTCCTTTCTCAAGGCAAACAGAAAGAAAGATACTTGAAAGCAAGTTCCAGGCTATGCCAGAAACAAATGAAGCAGGAAGCATCCTCAAAGGAGGATGGGAGCCTGGTTCATGACAAATGGAGAGGCTGCTTTGTGATGAAAATATGTCCAAAGTCCCCCTCCCTCCTCTTAGAAACCACCCACCTGCCCAGGATCTCAAGGAACTCCAGATAGAGATGTGCTGGATAGAAAAGAAAGTGTCTGTCCTGGCATTGTGAGGTTCTAAGAGTCTCCATTCGGAGATGGTACACCCAGCAGACACTCTATTAAGACAGCCTGAGGAAATCAGGTGAGCACAGACATCTTTGCAGCATAAGTATTTATGCCTCTGTAGTTAAAACCAACAAAACCTTTCTAATGAATGTCAAGTTCTATGAACTCATGTATCAGTTAAAATTGTTGTATCTCTTGCCTCATGAATGAAATCTGTCAGAAATTATTTGAAGTGTTTATGTGCAGCCAATTTTCAATAATAATGTTTTATGTATACACTCCTTTCCTATGTATCTTCTTTTAAAATACATTGTTTTTTTTTTTTGTTCCTTAATCAGTGTTTCTAGAAGGCATTCTACTGATATGAGAGTGCATGTGTATACTCTGCAAATTAACTCAGACATCATTAAACCATTAAATGGCACTCTTTGCAGAGCACCTAGTAAGGGGTAGGTGCTCATCTGAGTTCGTTTCTTATTTATCACTCCTCTTTTCAATGGGCATCCTGCAAAGTAAATAAACAATCACAAATAACCAGTGCATTTGCGTAAAGCTAAAGACCCTGTGTCTTTTCCCCCAATGTCCACCTTCTACCCTTATCTGACTCCTGCAATCTTCCAGCTATTCAGAAATCAGGGTTTAAGAATTCACTGACCACCATCACACCCATTATTGGAAGCCTTCCCACAATTTTTATAAAATTGTAATTTAAGATACAGTCTTGCATTCTGGTAATAGACTGTATCTAGTGATGGTGTCATATGCTTTTGATAAACTGGTGGATTTAATTCGCTAATATTCTATTTATAGTTCTTTATTGAAATTGGTCTTTAAATTTTGTACTGTGTTTAGAAGCTATCTTCAGAAAACAAGTTCAATATCTTTCTTTTCTGTGGTAGAATAGGGTTCATATAACACCACAACTGATTTTTTAAAGACTGTAATGTCATCTGTAATACCATCAAGGCCTGGTGCCTTTTTAGAATAAGAGATCTTTTACTTTCCAGTCTCTTCTATAATAATTGATTTGTTCATGTTTCCTTCCTCTTTATTCTTGAGTTAAGTTTGAGAGTTTGTTTTTTTACTGGAAAATCATCCATTGCCTCTAGGTTTTCAAATTTCTTTCTTTTTTATTTTTTTTTCCTTTTTGTCTTTTTTCATGACCGGTAACGGGATCGCAACCCTCGGTGTCGCGCCCGCACCACGCTCAACCAGTGAGCGGACCGGTCTCTATATGGGATCCGAACCCTCGGCGGGAGCGCCGCCATGCTCCCAAGCGCCACACTCTACGGAGTGCGCCACCGGGCCGGCCCTTCAAATTTATTTCTATAGAGTTGTATATATAATCCACCAGTAAGTTTTCTTATCTTCTCCAATCTGTGGTTATATTTCCTTTATAATGCTGTATTTATTTTATTTTCTCACTCTGTCTCTCCTCCTAATTAGGCTTGACAGGGTTGTACTCATATCTAGTTCATCAATATTTTCAAAGAAACTAATTTTGATTTTATGTACCCCTTTTTATGTTTGTTTTCTGTTTTGTTAGTTTTAGCTTTTATCTTTATTAATTCCCTCCATCTACCTTCCTGTTGTATTTTGTTACTATTGAATTTGAGTATTTTAAAATTTATTTTCATTTTTTAAAATTTTTTTAACAATAAAGACAATTTAAGGATATAGTTCTATCTGAGTACAAAGTTTGTTTGAATGTCTTGTATAGTATGAAGTGTTCCGATTTTTACTACTCTAGATAGTTTGTAACTTCAATTTGGTTTTCTTCTTTGGTGATCCAAGAATTATTTAAAAGAGTGCTTCTTAATTTTAAGAATTCATCCATTTTTTATTCCCATGTCTAGTTTTATTCAGTTATGATCAGAAAGGTAGCCTATAAAACTTCTACTTTAAAAAATTTATTTAGGTTTTTGTGTTGCCGAGAATCCATTCAATTTTATAAATGCTTCAAAATTTAAGTTTCCCGTAGGGTACATAGATACATATGCACACACGTTTGTGTGTGTGTGTATATCTGTGTATTCTGGTTATTGGCTATCTTACTCATATCCACTATATGAATTTCTATTTGATGTTGATTTCTTAATCTATCAGATTCTGAAAGTGGCTTATTGAATATTTCCACTACAATTTTATTTTTTGTCACAATTCTAGGAATTTTACTTTATGTATTTGTCTGCCATACTATTTAGTATTTTGTGGCTATCACATTTTTCTTAATGGACTATGCCTTTTATCATTACATAGTACCTTTCTTTGATTTTTTATGAATTTGAACTAGCATACTAATTGATCTGATGCCATGGTGTTTTTGTTTTGTTCTGCTATGATATTTTTATCATTTGCAGTTGTCTGGGATATCTTTGCCCAATCTTTAATTTACAGTATTTCACTTTGTCACAGGTATGACTCTCATTAAGTGGTCTGTAGCTGGATTTTGGTTTTTAACCTAATCTGACATTTGAGAGAGAATCATATTTATTCATATTTCTTATAATGACTGATTTACTTAATTCCTCCATCATATATTTAGTTTATATTTTTTACATTTTGCTATTTCTTCTTTACCTGTTTTTCTAATTTTCTTCTGATCTCATTAAGTTTCTTTTCATTCTTTTACTGCCTTGAGTAATTTAGGAAGTATTTGTGTTTGTCAAATGTGCTATAGGTTCTCCATAACTGTTGAAGTTAATTTTTACTTCCCTATTGGTATTTCATTATTAAATTATGACTCCCCTCCCACCGTGACGTTCACTGCCCCTTTCTCTGCCATCTCACATGCCCCATGCCTCTTCACTCCAGAGTTTTTCCCAACATCTCATCCTTTCTGTCCCAATAATCCATACTCATCATAATATCACAAATTTCCAATTATATCATTATCGTGACCCATTGTTTCCGCACTTTTGGGTCTTGAGATCTCCACTGTATTCACTTGTTATTTGGTTAGAGGACTTTCTGCAGTGTTTCCACCAGAATGACTCTTTGGTAGCGTACACTCTGAATCCATGCCTGCCCCAAAATAATTTTCTTTCAAAGCAAATAAATAATATTACACTGATTATATTCTTCTTTGACCTCAGAACTTTCCTCACAATAGATTTTATTTTACCATCTTTACTTTTCAGTAGAATTTTCTGTATATATTTAATTTCATCATCTTTTAGCTTTCAATATTGCAGACAAGTAAATGCCGATCCAATTCTCCTTTATTTTTAACTAACCTGGTTGCTATATTAGAAAATTTAATGAGTTTTGGGGGTTTGGAAAGGGAGTTTTTGTTTTTGTTTTGGCTTAAGGATTTTTTGTTTTATTAGTTTTGCTTTGTTTAGTTACTGTGGGTTGTTGTCCCCCCCAAAACTTAGTCCCCACTGTGACAGTGTAAAGAGGGTGAGAAATCTTATTACGGTAATTGAAAGGTGGGGCCTTGAAGAGGTGATTGAACTATGACGACTATGCCTAGTGAATGGGTTAATAACGGTGGTCAGGGGCATGATTCTGAGGGGTTTATTATTGTTGTTATTATTATTGTTGTTGTTGTTGTTGTTATTAATATTTCTTTTGGGAGCTGGCTGGTTCAAGGATCTGAACCTGTGACCTTGGAGTTATAAGGCTGAGCTCTTACCAACTGAGCTAACTGGCCAGCCTCCTGAGGGTTTTAATAAAAGAGCACATGAGAGGGTAGTCTCTCTGTGCCCCACCATTTTCTGCCATGTGAGACCCCTGCGTTGTTGTAAAGCCATCACCAAAGAAGACCCTCATCATAAGTGCTCTCTGGATGGTGGACTTTCCAGCTCCCAAAACTGTAAGCAATAAATTTCATTTTCTTACAAGGTACTCAGTTCCAAGTATTTTGTTATAAACAACAGAAATGGACTAATACATTAGCATTTAATGTCATAGGTCTGGTTCCCTGGGAAACATCTTGAGATGGAGATTTGTGGACAGGGATTTTACTGGGGAGTGTTCCAGAGAGCAATACCTATTAGGGATGTAGAAGCAGGATTGGAGTTGGCAAGTTAACTCAACTGGTTAGAGCACAGCCTTATAACAAACACCAAGGTTATAGCTTCAGATCCTGATACTGAGCCAGTTGCCAAAAAAAAAAAAAAAAAAAGCAGGATTGGGTAAAGGCAGGAGATGATCCTTAATAGATGCCTCAGCTAACCTTCTGGGAGCTGGGGTTGAATTATCAGATGAGGATAAGGGGACTAAGTCCTTTGCATCCCCACATCAACCAGTCATTGTATCTGGACTGCAACAGGTGGGGGGTTCAAGTGCCCCAGTCCTAAAGGGGGACTGCAGGTGGAGCTCCAGTATCTACTATGTTAAATATTCAGGAATTTAATGGGGATATGTCTAATTACATGTTTTTGTTTGTGTTTGTTTAGTTTTGTTTTAATTAATTTTTACTTGGACTCAGCCCTTCTAATCAGAAAACTAACATCTTCCTCCAGCTCAGAAAAAGGTTCTTACATACGGGGTTTGATAACCACTTCTCCGTCTTTTCCTTTTTTCTTTGGGATGGCTCATTACTTGCAGGTTAAATTTCCTGGGTCTGTGCTCTGTGTCATTTACCTTTTCACTTGTGTGTTTGTGTCTTTGTGGCATGTTGTACTTTTGCTTCATCTTCTAAGCTCTAATTCAATTGCTAGCAAAAATTATACCTTTTTATGATTCATCCAGTGGCTATTTTAATTCATAAATCTTGATCTGAGGCCCAGAAGATCTTCATGGTGTTTCAGCAATGTGTCTTTGAGAATGATCATTATTTTTTGTTCGTCTCTCCATCTCTCCCATTAGATCTACTTCAGTAATGAGTCCTAGCCATTTTGATTTCTTTCCCCTAGTTCCTGAATCCCATTAGAAGAGCTGTGGTTTTTCTTGAAAGTCATATTCTTGAAGGTTGTGTTAGCTTATACAGGTCAGGTGTTTGGTTTGGGACAAGGGGAAAGTCAAAAGGGTAGAACGCATGAAGTTTCTGTTCCTGTTATCAGCAGCCAAGGCACTGAAAAGACCAGCAGGAGGACACCCAGCCTACCCACGCAGAAGCTCATTTGCTTCTTCCTGCCTCCCTCCACCAGGGCTACCGTGATCTGCAGAAGCAGAGGTCCCTCCATGGACCTCATCATGATAAAGATATGTGAAGGCTCTTTTCCTTCAGGGGACACGATGCCTACTGTATTCTCCCAGGCCTTGAGAAGAGGCTGACCTTTCCCTTTTTCTGGTCCTTCAGCTCTAGCTCAACCCTCAGAGGTTTCAGGGCACCCGCTCAGCATCAGTCACTATCCTGCTGGTGACCATGATAATCCACGGCTTGAAGTAGCTGGAAGGAAAAAAAGAGTCAGAAGTAGGTTCTCTGAGGCACATCATCACAGAATCTCCCCAGCTTCTCCTTGGGTTCTTCTTTTCATGTGAGTAGGTCTTATCTTCCCTTTCAAATGATAAGTTTCTTGCCAGGAGCAGCACGTTCTCTACACTCCACATTTTCCTCTGCAGCAATCACGTATGACCCAGAGCATTACAGATACTCAATAAGCAGGTGCTGGCCTTGTCAACAAATCCTGTGATCTTATTCAGTGCCTCCTGTAATCTTTGTGGCTGAAAAATAGGATCTAAATGGCTACAATTCCATCTGCAAACTCTCCAGAGTATCTTAACTCAGCAAAGCCCATGCACATGGACTCTCTTATCTCCCAAGAATCAGGTGATGTTGGAAAGCTGAAGGCTTAGTGGGGTTGGTGCCAGTACACTGAGAGATGAGGAAAGGAAGCGAGGCATTGAATTTAAGCAAGATAGATCTGGGCTCCAACACCAGCCTTTCTACTTACCAACCAAGTGATGTGCCTTCCCTAACTCTTAATTTGTTTACATATAAAGTAGGTTAAAAAAACATAGTTCCTTCCTCCCAAGGCTGTTATGAAGATTAAAGGAGATAATGAATTAATATGCCTGGCACAGGAGAGCTCTGAAACTATGAGCCTGCAGCATTATTGTTATCACCATTATTTTTATAGTGGGGAGAGGGTGATGGGGTACTAAACAGTTGAGGGACAGAAGCAAGAAAAAGGGAAGAGGAACTGGGAAAAGGACAAGAAAGGGAGGACTTTACTCTGGGTCTTAATTCAGTGGTCTTGAAAACAAAATGTTTAAGGAGATTTGAAATCCCTTCCCAGTAATGGTGATGTTTCTACAGTCTAGGTCTGTATTTTGTTTCCATTTTGCTGAATAATTTTCACACCAAAACTCTTAAGAGAGTGCCCTTTCCACCCAGTTGCCCCACAGAGGGCCAGAGGGAGGGAGTGGAGGGGGGAAGCCAGGACGGGGCAGCAGTGATGTGCACCCAGCTGGCCAGCGTGTGCACCCATCCTTGGAACACTTCAGCTCTAAGAGATTCATGTGGAGAAAGAGAGGGTCTTCTTTGACATCCTTTTGTGGGCAGAATGAAGACAGGGCAGGAGGAGGCTCACCCCATCACAGCGCCACTTGACTAGGGATCTCTGCATCAGCAAAGTCTCCAGTGTCTCACCCTCATTTCTACCACTGACCAGCTGTGTGGCCTCAGGCAAGGTGCTTAACCTCTCTGTGCTGCAGTCAAAGGGAACTTTCTTAAGAAACGTTTATAATTTATATAGCATTATTTTAAAGATTTTACAAATATGAATTTATTTGATCCTTACAATGGCCACTAGAGCCATAGGAGGTAGATCAAATAGGTTGTGGTGAAGATTAAATGGTTAATACATACAAAGCGTTTAGAGGCCCCCATTTGGTAGATGGGAAATGCTATGTAAGTGTGATCTGGTGTTATTATTGTTACTGTAAATGCTATCCATTAGCTGCCATCATCATCACCATCTCCATCTTTTGGGGGTCCTGTGGCACCATAGCACTTGGTGGTATTGTTTCTCTCCTCAGTCCATCACCAAACCTCACCCCACTTCTCAGGCACTTAGAGTCATTTTACTATTTCCGTCCCATTCTTCCACCTCCACCTCACAACTGCCTGCTTTTGCCATCCTTGTGTCTGAGTCCCTACTTCTTTCATCTAATTTAAATAGGGGGAAACTTTCCCCAGGCACAGTGTTCTCACCTACACACAGTCTACAGCTTGAGGGATTATGACCAGCTCCAACCAGAAAGTTGGATTCAAACATCTGTCTATTCATCTCCAAAGCCGAGTCTCATTCTATGACACCAAACCCTTTTAAAATATCTACTTTGCCTTCCAGACTTTTTACTCGTCACTCTTAAACCCTGAACTGATTTGTTTACAAGGCACATCATTCAAAATTTTAAAACAAAGGACCATGCTAACTTGATGCATTTATATATTATTCTCACTTGTCTATATGTTTGAATTTTTTTTTAAAAGAGTATATGAACTGATTCATAGCATGTTATATGCCTTCTTGACAGACAATAGTTTTTTATTCAAGCACATGATTGAGAAGAATGTATTTGATAATATGTTAAGCAGAAAAGCCTGGTTACAAAGTGCATGTAGAATTGAACACCATGTTATGTATCTGCAAGGACATACACCAATGGAATCACAATGGCTGACTTGTAGTGGAGAAAATTCATTTTTTTGGTGTTCTTTTTAGTTATGCTTTTTGTATACTCTAATTTTTCTCTGTTATGAGTATGTATTACTTTTACAATATCAAACAGCAATAGAAGAAACTACAAATTTTGCTGGAAAACATAGTTGGGCATTTATCTTAGTCCTATTTAGCTAGGACTGTCCTAGTTAAAGCCTTTAATCTGCTCTCTCATCAGGCTTGGTATTCATCTGATAGATGGCTCAGTTGCCTTTTGGTCATCATGTAGTTATTTGCTTTGAATTTTAAACATCTGGGTGGCAAAGCCTATAGCTGTTTAATATTCTTTTTTAGTGTTTTGACTATACAGAAAAGTACATAAAAATGCTTCTGATCATCATGATGAAATCAAGAACTAATCTTATGTGTTGAAGGCAAAATCAACCTCATTAGCTTGGCACATGAAGAGAAGCAAATGTTGGCCCAAGTCATCCTCCCCTGTCCCATTTCGGCAGCTTCCTACGAAACACAGCACACTGAAGGCCCTCAGCCATGTGTAAAACAACCACAGATGGAGGTTACTCACCCTCCCACTGCATTTTTGTCCTCGTATAACTGTAGTTTCTCAAATGAACCCTTTGCTTTAACACATATTTTAAACACATTCATTAACAATTCTCAAGTTCTAATTTTTCTTATCACTCTAGATGCACATTTTATATACTAAAGGGTAGTAGCACATGTTCAGGAAATAGCAATGAGCCAAATTTAATATATTTTTTATTGAATTTGTATTTTATATTCATTTATATATTTTTTCTGGTTAAACTTAGCAGTGTGGCTGGTATTTGTTTACTTCTACAAAAGAGAAAGAGGGGGGGTTATGTCTGCTCAAAATCAAAAATGTATCTGAAAAATGAAAATTTCAGTGAAATGCCCAGATATTATATCTTTGTAACGTCAAATACATGAACTGGGGTTTTTTGTTTGTTTGGTTGGTTTTTGCATGTTTGTTTGTTAGCTTTGCTTTTTGTTCCATTGATTGGCATTATGTGGAACACCACGGTTGGACTGAAAAGCTCTCCTCTACTTCAAAAATTAGTATAAAACAAATTTAAATTTTTCCTTTTAACCTTCTTAGGTGCCTTTGGAAAGGATCAAGGGGTCAGGATAAAGCTATTAAACAGCATATGTTTGTCAATAAGAATTGTGAGAACTGACATAACTGAATATTAAGCATTACTTTAAAAGCTAAAAACTTAAGAAACATTACCCTGGAAAAGTGAAGAATAAGGACAATTTAACAACTGGTTCCAAGTAAATAACAGGATGGTAGAGACTGACCGTCTTGTTACCAACCCCAGTTAACGACAACGACTCCTGAGAACTGCCTTTAAACTCTGTCGTGACTCGGATCGGACATAACACAGTGCTGGACACGTGGCTGATATCCTCAACGCCTCCTATTCAACATGCCTCCCGCTTGTGGGCACCATGCAACCATCTGAGGCAGGTAAAGAGATCTGCACCACACTGCCATAGAGACGAACCTGGAATGTTCTGAAAGGAGGTCACTAATAACCCAGGCAAGCATCAGAGAAAGCGAAGCCGTGAAGAAAAGACAGCATCCCTCTGAGTCAGATTTGATGGGTGAAAAGAGATTGCTCAAAGGAACAACAGAGAATTCTAGGGATTCCAGGCAAAGGGAACCACATGTTCAAAGGCACTAAGGTGCCATGATTTACTCAGAGAATACACGTCTATGTGACTAGAGAACAGAGAACGTGGCAAGGTACGGTATTGTAGAATCAGGCCCAGGCCACGTCAGCAAAGGTCTTCCTTGTTAAGAACTTTGGGTTCTGTCTCCCAGGCAATCACAGAACCCTACGGTAAGGATTTTCTACAGAGAAATGACATAATCCCATTAGCATTTTAATGTTTATGATATCCCTCAGGCAGCAATATGGAGAATAGTTTGCTAAAGAAGTCTATTCTCCATATAGTGACTCCATTGCAATATTCCAGGCAAAAATTTTTTAGGAACTGAACTAAGGCTGTGACTGTGGTGATGGAGAGAAGGAGGCAGAGTTAAGCAACGATAAGCAGTTAACACTGGCTGAACTTGTGAATCTCTTTGATGAAGGGGAAAGGAGAAGCGGATAATCTAGGATAACCCTAGATTTTTGCCTTGGGCAACTGGGTGCATATTTTCCTTGGGCAACTGGGTGCACAGTTTCCCAGAATAGGCAATACAGAAGAAGATATAGATTTTGATGGGCTGTCAGGGGAAATGATCCATTTAGTGTTCTAGCTGTAGAGTTTATGGTATCTATAAATGTCTAAGAAGGATGTTGCATTTACTAGAATATAAGATCCATGAGGACAGGGACCTTGTTGGTTTAGTTCAATCCATCCTGCATGCCTGGCACAGCACCTGGTGAATAATAGATGCTCAGTACATTCCAGTTGATTATGTGATCTCGGACAAATTTATGGGTCTAGACCTCAGGGCAGTGTTCTCAGCAATTATTCAATGCTCTTTGGTTTTTTTGCACAGAAAAGCCTAGAATCTCCTTTGATGTCTACCAAGATCATATTACATCCAGAAATATAAAGATTCTGATTCATGCCCAAAGGAATGAGTTACAAAAATCTTACAAAGATTCCTAATGATCCTATTACTATTTGTTAACACATATAAACAGGTTGGTTAATTGCTCACAGAAGAGCAAAAACTGCAATAATACATGTTTGAAGTTGTCGGCCAGAGTAGAACAAGTGA